ATTGATTGAGGGATACCTTCTCCCAATTATTCAGGCCATTCTGTTATCATAATTCCTCTGTATCTACTCAATATGATATATGGCTTCCTACACACTCTGAGCTGTTGCATATGTTTACATATCTGGAGACAAATCAAGGTTGGCGAAAGTAACAACATGCTATACTTTTGATTGGACAAAAACCCTGCTGACATAATCCTGTTAATCAAAGCCATCATGTCCAGTTGGTCCAGGGAAATTATCGCAATGGAATGGACATATAATAGCCTGGATCACTGTGGATGGGATGTAATGAGATTTATGATTAAGGATATCTAATATATAGTAATAAGTAACATCGAGAGATTATGTCCATAGGTCTGACCGGGATACTAGTTGATTTATGTTGATATGTATATAATTAAATTTTCGTTGTGTTCATTGAAATTCCTGTATTCTGATTAGCTGAATTGGTCACGTGTTATTGCATTCATTTCCCAATGAATGTAAACACTTAAGCCACGCCCACTGAGGCGCACTACTTTTATTACTTCGGAATGTCGGGGAATCCCTTTCTGCTCACGTGTATCGTCATGCCAGGACATTAAGCGACTTTCATGCATTTTCATTGTCCAAACAAACCTTTGAAACTGAAGGCCAAGAATGAATGAAACAGCAAACATGCGCCTGTGCGACCATGTAATTTGAAACAGATGCCTTCTCCCGGACATAATTCTTCCGGTTCGTTACAGTCTGACTGTTGCAGTTCTTTTCCCCTCTTGTCTTAATTGACAGGTCCAATGAACATTGTTTTGATCCTACTCTCCGTTGATTGGCTACTGACTGTGTAGGCGTGTCAAGTTATGTGCATAAATTAAACGATCACCTGATTCATGTCAAGCCACAGAATGTATTCCTACACCTGGAATGTTTATCAATGTCGTCATTTTTGTCTGTTTTGATATATACAACTGTTTTTGGTTAAACTATTGTAGATAAAACATGTTTTATGTTGACGAATTTAATTATAAGCATTGACTGTGTATTTTCTTCGGTTCATTGAGGTATGAATCGAAAAAACAATGTGCAAACTTTTGTAAGAACCCGTTACGCGGATTCATACGGTTTGCACATCGGTTTTTCGATTCAAACCTCAATGAACCGAAGAAAATACACAGTCAATCCTTAAATATATGTTGTGACATATATCATATATATAAATATATGATTTTGATATTTGTCTTATTTACAGTGGCAGTTCCTTTAAGCATTCATTTTTCAGGATGTACATAGCAGCATTTCACTATAATGAAAACAGCCAGAATACCCAAGCAGTGACCAAGGCTAGAGAGCCCAGGTGGACAATCTGCTACCCCAAAGCCAAGAAGAGGTCATCCTCCGTAGCCAATTTATGGTAAATGTTGTTGTGATGAAGGAGTAAGTATATTCCAAAACGTAGTGTTCCTCGTAATAAAGAAGTTGACATCCATATATTCTCTTCCTCATGTGTATCACGTCTAAATGCCTTTCAAAGACTTGATCAGAAATACTGTTCAAATTTTCACATAAAATGCATTGTAAATATCTGTATCATATATAATCTTTCTATTTTAATTATCATGATAAAGGATAATAACAAAATAGAAGACCTAAAAAAGTACCACCATTGGCCACCAAATCTTACAAACAAATAGTCAGTTCCTTGGGCTTTCACAAATAATTAAGCTTACATTTATATACACTGAACAAAAAATGTTTTGGATCATTAATATTATGGGGGATATTTTCATGAAATTGTGTGCTGAGTCATCACTACTATAAACACACCCACGATACATCACATTAAGAACATCAGTTCAAAGAAAGGCATGAAAGATAATCAATGTCATGTAGTCAATCTTTTCAATTAAGGTACACTTATTTACAAAGTAAACATGTCCTCATACATTGCTGCTTGACATCTGATCATGACTTCCATATTAGGTCTCAACATGGCACTCGTGCAGGAACAGTCACGCAGTTGGGATACGATGACATGCATCAACCAAGTCAGTGAACCTGACCTCTTATGACAAGCATAGTCACCTTTCACGACAAGCATGGGTTGCTGAAGTTCAAAACAGTGTTAAACCCACTCACTCTGCTAATATTCCACTAATTATGTCTTCAACCAAGTAAAAATCTTCAAAGAAGCATGTTCATTAACTTATTGAATCCCTGAACTGAAATCTCCTTCGAGGTATTGTTATTCTTGTCACATACCCTTCAACAAGGTTTCATCCAAAGCTCAAAATATCAACTTGCTTTGTCCAAACAAGATCAAACCTTTACCAGCCAGCAGTCAAATCACAACTAAAATAAATATTTCAACAAATCATCTTTCAAACAAGGTAGTCTTAAGGGCATAAAAAGAATGAAAAAAAATATTAAATAAAAAATATTGAATAAAAAATATACATATCTGAATCCTTAAATCAGTCTAAGGCACTGAATTACTTCATTTGCTCTTTATAAGTTTCAGATCTTCAGATCAAATGTCTCATGAAGACAATGAGAGACAAAATGACAAAGCCTCAGGACTTTTCAGAAATACTTCAAACGGTCTGATCATTCCGGCAGCTCTGACCCTGTTCATTGGGGAACTACAGAACACACATCACCAATTTTACAGCTACTTCCTAGAAGGAAAACACGAATCAAATCACACAATTTGAATACTACCTTTCTTTTTATTCCATGCCTAATTTTCCCATTTATTTTGAAAACAACAACATTTTTCCAAATATTTCTGGGATGTTTTGACACCAAATATTTTCCTAAATGTATGGATCGATGTCTAAGCTTTGAACAATACACATACGAAATAATATTTCTATTGACCTCCTTTTTTAAAAGTGTGAGTGTTAACCATGAAAATCTAGACTTGTTGATGTCTGGGTAGATACCTCCAGCTCTGTATATCCACTGGAGCCAATATTGATTTTTATATCAAATGGAATTCTGCAATAGGAGACAATAAAAAGAATTGTCCCAAGACTTTCTTTCCCGCTAACATGTCTGCTGGTATGTTTTGTGTTCGTAGCGGCACTTGAACTGTCTTGAATCAGGGATCCTTTAAGACATATTTTTTGTCTGTCTATCAATGATATAAAGCAGTGATGCCAAGTATTATACACTGAAAAGACATGGCTTTATACTACAAACAACAAGTGAATTAATTCTCATTTCACGACAGGTTGCGTATTGCTCACGATAAAAGTCAATGAACACAATGTTATCTAAACCAGCATCACTGATTGTAAGCTCACAGCATCAATGGGTGTTGCTGCATGTTAGAACTTGTAGAACTGATGATGTTTTCCTTCAGAACATTCCATCCCTATGTAGTAAGGAGTTGGTAATGAGGACTTCTGTTGAATCATGCACTGACCAATAAGGAAAACTGCTGAATCACGCACTGACCAATAAGGAAGACTGCTGAATCACACACTGACCAATAAGGAAGACTGCTGAATCATGTACTGAGCAATAAGGAAGACTGCTGAATCACGCAACTGAGCAATAGGGAAGACTGCTGAATCATGCACTGAGCAATAAAGATAGCTGCTGAACCACGCACTGAGCAATTAGGAATTGAAGACTGCTGAATCATGTACTGAGCAATAAGGACAGATGTTGATTCAAGTACACAGCAATAAGGAGAGCTACAGAAACAAGCACTAAGCACAATAAGGATGTAAGTTGATTCACTGAGCAATAAGGAAGACTGCTGATTCGAAACACTTCATCTGCATTATGCAAATGTTACCACCCATAAATTTTTCGGTTATGAATTTAAACACTTCTAAAGTTTTCAATCAGGTCTTATTTTGTAAAGAGTCCATTACTTGGCCCAGATAGCAATCCCTTTAAAATGAGATCTTCTACTCCGATTTGATAGCTCTCTGCTTGAAGATCTGAAAACACCCCCATAGGTTTTGTCAGCTGAACTTATAAGCCAATCAGCACCGAGGCTTCTAAATTCTCAATGCAAGTGAAGCATTAGACAATCTTATCTGATTTCTGTATCTCAAAAAACATTATAATCGGGGAGTCCCTGTGATACTGTTCAGAATACTTTACACGTTTCCGAGACCCTTGGCACCTTCAGCCTAAGGTCAGCCATCGAGGGTATAGTCATGCTAACTTTTGCTGAGATCATTTCCAGAAGTCGAAAGCTGACATCTGATTGGCCCATGCATCCTTCAATTAGATTGGGTTCAGGGTTCCTCTGACATGGCATCCTATGGAGGTGTCATGTTGATCGGAGAAAAGATCTGACTTTGCCCAGATAGGTGACAAAAAGAAGGAAAACAGAACACAGAATTTTCAATGATTTTTGTTTGAGTGACTTCAGCAACAACGATTTGTAAATTGTGCTAAAGTATCATTGAATAAACATTACTGAACTGTTATTTCAGGCAACAAATTGTTCTGTTAAATGGAATGAAGTTCATTCAGGCTGAAGTCATCGACATTGCAAGACAAATTCTCTCTAATGCCATTGAGGTAGCCAGACAAATTCAGTCTGACGTCATTGAGGTAGCCAGACAAATTCAGTCTAATGCCATTGAGGTAGCCAGACAAATTCAGTCTGACGTCATTGAGGTAGCCAGACAAATTCAGTCTGAAGTCATTGAGGTAGCCAGACAAATTCAGTCTGAAGTCATTGAGGTAGCCAGACATATTCAGTCTGAAGTCATTGACATAGCAAGACAAGTTCAGTCTGAAGTCATTGACATAGCAAGTCAAGTTCAGTCTGAAGTCATTGACATAGCAAGACAAATTCAGTCTGAAGTCATTGAGGTAGCCAGCCAAATTCAGTCCGACGTCATTGAGGTAGCCAGAAAAATTCAGTCTGAAGTCATTGAGGCAGCCAGACAAAATTCCTTAATTCAAAAGACGGACTAAAAGATTTAACATATTGCAAAGTTTCTTCTCAAAAGCTGAAGCAGTTTTTCAAGATGAATATGTGAGAACATTCACATCCTGCAATAGTTGACAAAGCACGGCATCCACTCACACAGCATCCACTCACACGGCATCCATGGCATCCACTCACATGGCATCCACTCACACGGCATCCACTCACACGGCATCCACTCACACGGCATCCACTCACATGGCATCCACTCACATGGCATCCACTCACACGGCATCCACTCATACGGCATCCACTCACACGGGATCCATGGCATCCACTCACACGGCATCCACTCACATGGCATCCACTCACACGGCATCCACTCACACGGCATCCACTCACACGGCATCCACTCACACGGCATCCATGGCATCCACTCACATGGCATCCACTCACACGGCATCCACTCACACAGCATCCCCTCACATGGCATCCACTCACACGGCATCCATGGCATCCACTCACATGGCATCCACTCACACGGCATCCACTCACACGGCATCCACTCACATGGCATCCACTCACACGGCATCCACTCGCACGGCATCCACTCGCACGGCATCCACTCGCACGGCATCCACTCGCATGGCATCCACTCACACGGCATCCACTCACACGGCATCCACTCACATGGCATCCACTCACACGGCATCCATGGCATCCACTCACACGGCATCCATGGCATCCACTCACACGGCATCCACTCACATGGCATCCACTCACACGGCATCCACTCACACGGCATCCACTCACATGGCATCCACTCACATGGCATCCACTCACACGGCATCCATGGCATCCACTCACATGGCATCCACTCACACGGCATCCACTCGCACGGCATCCACTCGCACGGCATCCACTCGCACGGCATCCACTTGCACGGCATCCACTCACACGGCATCCATGGCATCCACTCACACGGCATCCACTCACACGGCATCCACTCACACGGCATCCATGGCATCCACTCAGACGGCATCCATGGCATCCACTCACACGGCATCCACTCGCACGGCATCCACTCGCACGGCATCCACTCACATGGCATCCATGGCATCCACTCACATGGCATCCACTCACACGGCATCCACTCACACGGCATCCACTCGCACGGCATCCACTCGCACGGCATCCACTCGCACGGCATCCACTCGCACGGCATCCACTCGCACGGCATCCACTCGCAGGGCATCCACTCGCAGGGCATCCACTCACATGGCATCCACTCACCCGCATCCACTCACATGGCATCCACTCACATGGCATCCACTCACACGGCATCCACTCACACGGCATCCACTCACACGGCATCCACTCACACGGCATCCACTCACACGGCATCCATGGCATCCACTCACATGGCATCCACTCACACGGCATCCACTCATACGGCATCCACTCACATGGCATCCACTCACACGGCATCCACTCACACGCATCCACTCACATGGCATCCACTCACATGGCATCCACTCACACGGCATCCACTCACACGGCATCCACTCACATGGCATCCACTCACACGGCATCCACTCACACGGCATCCATGGCATCCACTCACATGGCATCCACTCACACGGCATCCACTCATACGGCATCCACTCACATGGCATCCACTCACACGGCATCCACTCACACGCATCCACTCACATGGCATCCACTCACATGGCATCCACTCACACGGCATCCACTCACATGGCATCCACTCACATGGCATCCACTCACACGGCATCCATGGCATCCACTCACATGGCATCCACTCACACGGCATCCACTCACACGGCATCCATGGCATCCACTCACATGGCATCCACTCACATGGCAATAACGTTTATCTGCATTTTCTTCTTATAAAAAAACCAAATACAAATGAGGACCAATTTAAGTTTTATTGCTGCTGCAGAGGTCTACAGGCTAGGATTAATTAAGAACAGCAAATTCAAGCTGGACCCAGCTCAGCCAATCTGCAGTTCCAGGAATTTAGATTCCTTGTCAGCTTACATAATTTTAGGATGTGTATCAACCCAGAAGTTTAATGTTACCTTCCATACACACTCCAGATCATTACTGGACTTCGGAGTGTGGATCATAGTATCCTTTCAATTCTGAATCCCTGTTCTTGTATCTCACGAGTTGGAATACACAATTTATGACTTGATTGTGAGTTACAGACAGTCAGATACATGTAATTGGAAGTCCTCGACAAACATGGGATCTTTTTGAAGTACAAAACAAGTATTGGAGTGGGAGACAAGCCCCCACCGAGGTGTCTTGTATGTGGAGCAAACATCCAAACTTTACATTATACAACATTCTGTCCTCAGGAACCCACCATTTGATATTCAGGTGGGGAGCTGGGATTTTATTGAAAAACACATATTGTGCTCCTCAGACAGGTGAAAAAAGGAGACATCGACTGCCACAAAAATTGCATAGTTGAAAGGTGTATCTTTTATTAAAATTCAGGCTCATAAAATTAAATAAAAAAATATATCTGGTTTTGTAGCTTAAGCTGAAAAAATATCTAATCTCGATACAAAATCACCTGCGAGCTGTACCCAGTCATCAAAGAAGCTGCAATTCCCAGTACTGAGTTGTATCCCTTAGGCATGCCAGGATCCTATGATTATAGGTTGTGGTATCAGCACCATACCCATGGGTTTCACCGAAGTGGTAAATATCAAAGAACTCCATCACTTTGGACATTCTCCCTCATTAAGCTGGCATGCTCTGATATAACTGAAGTACCATTCAGACCAGCATCAAGCCCAACTCACTCACTCACTCACTCTCTGGACTCCAGCGTTTCTCACTTGAATAATATATCGCTGAATTCAACCTTATCCTTAATGGGGATTGTCTCTGTAGCTTAACACACTAAAAGTTTCTTGATATACGACTTGCAAAAAGATAAATCTAACTTTAAAAAAGTCCTCACGAGTGTTAAAGCTCCTTATTCTAACAGCCACTCCTTAACAGGCATAATCTTATCTATTTCTAAAACCCTTTAGGCTGTAGTTACAATCAATACTCCCTCAATGATAACACACTAGTGGTTATGAATTGCTTTCCACACCAACATGCAGCTTTTTACTTCTCCGGGATGAACATCAATTCCTCAAACACAGCCCGCATCATGATCACGCCAGACTTTACAAAACTCAACACTGTCGGACATGCCACATCCCAAATCCCTAAAGTAGGTTTGAGGCAGAAACATTTGGAGATGTCCGTCAGATTATCCCTCCATTACCCAGTGAGAGATGGTTCCATGAGAAGCAACTGTCCCTCTCCATTACAGAGGCGCCGATGGACACCATCAGTGGTGGGCAGCGTGGCATGTTATCTCCTGTCCACAAAAACATCTCCCAAGTGTTAAACTCAGGAAGCAGAGCTGCCTGTTCAGTCAATAAAAAGCTGTAATTACAATAAATCTGTGTAATCAAGGGCTTGTGTGCTAGACAATGAGATCCGGATGATTGGGACAAACACATGTGACCTGCACTGTTACCATCATTTGTGTAGAGTAAAGCTTATGCAAGAACCATAATGATACCAATAAATGGGGATATATCATGGGTAATTTAGGCAATCATGTGATAACCAGACATTTTGAACACTATGGAATAACAGGTTTATGTCATAGACAATGTCCAATATCATTTCTAAAAGGTCAGATGATAAACCGACAATCGACTGAATGGTTGTCGCAATCAAGGTTAGAGGAACATGTCCTTCAATTCTCTATAGTGTGAGATTGCCAGATCAGAAGCATGTTCCTGTAATGAACGTAAGGAATTATAAAGATAACTGTCTATTAAGGTGACTGTTGATCTGTAGAACATTGTTTGTTCTAGATGTGATTCTTATTCACATGAAGTAGCAGTACTCCCATCTGCAAGTCATTATTGGAGTGTGGGTAAATGACAGTGAAGGTGTTCAAAACAATCAATATGATGCTTATGACGTACATCGGCACCTTTGAGCTTAATGACAGGAATTCTTACTCGAACCTGTATGAATAGAAATTCTGTATCTCACCATGAACTATAAGTAGTGGTGTAATGATACGGTGATACAGTATTGTATCATGATACAAGGTCAATGATACAATACATGGATTTGCAAACCGAGTATCGCGATACATAAGATACATTATACGTAAAAACATGTAAATAACAGACACTGCACAACCAGCAGCTGACAAGGATTCTCTAGTTTTGCCTGGCATGACATTCACAGCCAACTCTAGCTTATATGTTTCTGTCCTACAAAATCCGATCTTCGATCTCTGAAATTTAGAAACATATGATTCAGGATTGTGATTCACCTGCAATAAGATAAAAATACCAACTTCATGAAATAAGAGTAATTGGTCAGGATACGAATCGTCTGCATGTCTCGGTACTATTGTATCTCGACCCAACCGTATCGTTACACCTCTAGCTGTGAGTACAGTGAATGATGAAATCTGCTTCACTGAATGTTCTTAAGTTGAATATAGTTGGGTATAGCTCCTCTCCTCTCAACAGTTTTCCAGTTATATTATGGAGTGTCAGCTATATGTGAGAGACCCATGAAGATCCGGGTAGAAAAGGTCTTCAGCAACCCATGCTTGCCGTAAAAGGCGACTGTGCTTGTCATTAGAGGTGATCGGGTGGTCAGGCTTGCTGACTTGGTTTATGCATGTCATCGTATCCCAATTGTGTGGATCGATGTTCATGATGTCAATCACTGGATTGTCTGGTCCAGACTCCATTATGTACCAACTGCCGTCATATAGCTGGCATATTGCCAAGTGCGACGTTAAACAACAGACAAACAAAAACAAACAACAAAACTAAATGTGGGAGGAAAGCCACAGAACAGAAAGCTACCGTCATTTGTTCTATCAATGTTATAGGTGATGATGTATCCTCTCCTGGCCTGGTACAGAACAGTACTGACATTTGTTCTATTGATGTTACAGGTGATGTATCCCCTCCTGGCCTACGGGTACAGAACAGTACTGACATTTGTTCTATTGATGTTACAGGTGATGTATCCCCTCCTGGCCTACGGGTACAGAATAGTACTGACATTTGTTCTATTAATGATACAGGTGATGTATCCCCTCCTGGCCTACGGGTACAGAACACTATTGATGTTACAGGTGATGTATCCCCTCCAGGCCTACGGGTACAGAACAGTACTGACATTTGTTCTATTGATGTTACAGGTGATGTATCCCATCCTGGCCTACAGGTACAGAACAGTACTGACATTTGTTCTATTGATGTTACAGGTGATGTATCCCCTCCTGGCCTGGTACAGAACACTACTGACATTTGTTCTATTGATGTTACAGGTGATGTATCCCCTCCTGGCCTACGGGTACAATGCATTGCTTCCTGCTATACGGATGTTGATTAGCTCACCCTGGTCCAAAACACAATCCTATGACTAAACTCCAATAAAAATGGAATAAACATGGGTTTTGAAATATAATGGATTATGAACTCATTCTGGCTATAATATCTTTTGGTCTCTGAGATTCCATTTTGATTTTTTTCCTTAAATGTGCCATTAAACCAATGCTTATTCAAGTCAAGACTTCAAATGCAATGCGTCAGGCAAAAGTGTAATTGAACCCTGACCATTGGACCTGATCTCCAAATTGGCCCCAAGAGGCTGGAGGGGATTGATTCCCATGAAAGTGAATTATTTGCAAGACATGTCAGCATTGAACACTGTGAATGTTATTGCAAATTTGAGACATAAACATTAATTATTGGATTTTGTCCAGTTTTCCATCTCTCCACAATGTTGTACAGCACAGGACCCTGTCTGCGAGTGATAAATGGTACTTGTTTTCACCAGTGCCTGTGAACTTGAGTTTACAAACAATGGAACATGGATTCCAAGTGCTTGATTCAGCCATATACAACATGCACAAGTGCAACTTATCATTGAAAAATGCAACCTAATGTCCACGACTTCATGCATCAAATTTGGTTCTAAACTAATGCTTCCTTGTAAAAACAAAATCAGTCTTTCAACACACGCAATGCCTCTACAGTTTAGTTACAATACTACATCACTAATGTCTGTGTTACATGTAATTTGTTAGGCTGTCTTAGGCATGTAGCAATCAAACTGTGGCTACAGCAAGATTATGTTCAATTGTTGCTGTTACGTTTTACAGCCATTAAT